GCGGCCGCGCGGTTTGGCAACCCCGGGGAGGCCGGTGCGGCTTCCTCGGGAGGAGGAGTGTTCCTTCTCAGCCGCCTGCGGGGGGACCGGGCCGAGCACCCCCCCCAGTCCCCGTGCTGGCGTGCTGCCGAACGGTGCGGTGACCGGGGATGGCGGCGGGACGGGGGCACCCGAGTCTCCCGCGCTGTCTCCGTGCCCCTGGTTGGAGCCTGCACACAGCTAACGCTCCTCGGTGTCGGGAACGAGAAACGTTAAGCTCCGAGTTGTGATTTCAGGACCAAATCTCTCTCTTTCTTATCTTAAAAAGCCCCACACCGGTAATCATCATCTGTGTTGGTGTAAAAGATTACCCACGGCTTGTGTTCACCTAGGAGTAGTGTAGATCAGCCCTCGGTTTGGAGCTGTAGGCCGGAGTTGAGTTTTCTCCCCCGAAGTGGAGTCTCCAGTGCTTCAGCTTTCACGTTTTTCAGGTCACGCTGTCTGGATCGCTCCGGTGCCAGTTCCTGCAGTAGGGATGGAGTAGTTTTGACAGTGGCACTTCTGGTTGTGCAGAACAAAAGTTCAGCAAAATTTAAAAGTTCCTGAATATTGGATCTGTTACATTATTGGAAATGGAGCAACTTCTCTGGAACATACACCTACCCACCATACACAGTTACACACAAAAATAGTAAAGTGCAGTTTTTAAAGCTTTTGTACTTAACAACTTGTCAGAACTAAGTAAGAGCAATTATCCAGGGAATATGCATTTGTAGTGATCACACACATGCAGAATCTTGGCTCTTTTCATGCCTGAACGTGGCTGGGACTACTCGGAGCATCAAATCTATACCATTAATTCAGATTTTTACATACAGCATGATTGCTTTAACATCAGGGGTTATTTGCAGGCATAAAATTGTCTTCTTTTGCATTTTAATGAAAGTTGTATTTTTGTATGCCTGATAGTTCTTAGCAAGGTTTAGTTTCAGCTCTTTTGCATTTCTCACAAATTGTGTTCTTAACATGGTTTAGTTTCAGCTCTTTTGCACTTCTCACAGATTGTTTTCTGTTGTTTTGATATGATTTAACAAACAGGTTTATTGTATTAATTCCACATACCTTTAGTGATATCTTAAAACAATATTACTAATGCTTAATTTGTAAATTGTGTTTTCCTCCATGTAATTCAGTCATAAAAAAGAAGCAGCGGGTATGTAGGAGTACATTAAATCTCAAAAGCGGTTGAAAAAAATGCCCCCCAATATAGAACTTGAAATTAAAAACTGTGTTTCTGTTAATATAATTCAAATTAATCAAGCTTTTGAAAGACAACAAACTCTAAAAGAAGAAAATAAAATTTGAAGTTACCTTAAAATAATAACTGTTCCAAGATTTTCTTGATAAACGGAGTTCTCAGCCTTGTGGGAGTGTTGTGTACTGAAAAAGAGTTCAGTAACCCATCACACAAGATGAAGTTATCTCATTTAAAATTAGGTCTGGGATATAGATGTGTCTGTCGTTTAAGATAATCTGAGAATAACAGAGAAATATTTAAGGTAAAAAGTTGTGTATCTGCATTGCTTTGTGGATGCTGATCGAACAAAAATACCTACTATCCTACCAGAATAATCAAGAAGCTGAACTGACTTCAAACTCTTAAGCAGGTCCATGAGCATATTTTTATTCAACTATTTTTGTATTTTAAAAAGATACGAAATGTTTGTATTTATTCAGCTTTTCAGCTTTTTAAAAAATACATCCTGCTTTGCTTTGCAAGCAGTCGGTTAAGCAGAATTAATCACTGCCCTTCCCCTGTCCTGTCTGTGCAGTGATGCTGCTGTAGCTCTGTTTACTGGCCACTCTTAC